TGGTCGAAAACTTTGCTGGTGGAAGTGAATAAAGGATGCTGAGAAAAATGTCATCGAGTCCAGAACTTACTGCCCTACTTGCCCTATGCGACTGCAGTTTTGTTTGGATCCTTTCCAAAAATACCGCGAAGAATAACTATGTCGAGTAACTTTGGTTTCTCCTAAATTCCCAAGTGTCGCTTAGGTATTTCGGTGTTTTGATCATTGAAGTGAAAAAAAAAAAACAGAGCCGTGTGAAAGGGTTTCGTTAATATGTACGTGATGCAATGTTTCGATCATTTCCTCCTCGATTGCCTCAGTCGTTGCGAAAGACCCTACAGATCACTGCGTTTTAAATAAATTATCGCCAATCCGATTCATGAGCGTCCGACACCGTTTTTATTGCCGGTTGCTTTTACGGTGAATAATCGATAGAGAATTCGTCGAGCGTCCCCCGTCGCGAGATTCGTAAGAGGAATATTTAGTATTCACCCTACGGCGTCCAGGCAAGATAGGCTTATACATTAGTCCCAAAATAAAATTAGTTCGGTGCTCGTGACTCGGGAAACCAAATTAAACACGCGGACAGTCTCTACAAACATCCATATTTATAACAGTAGGTAGGTGTACAATTTTTGGTTACGAGAATAAGATACAAATTACAAAACCGATTACACCGATGAAACTGATATATTAGTCCGACTCGAAAGTGTAAGCGTCGAAGGTTTCCTCGAATAGTCGTTCGTTCGACGGTGAATCGTGTTAATGGCTGAGCGACTACTGCGAGACAGCGCCGTTTCCATTTTGTCCGACAATGTTTCACGATAAGGTAAAAAGAACGAATTCAGTCTGTAATTTCGAAGATTCGACCATTACCCGTTCCTTGTTGCTCGGTTACAGAGGTAAACGTTTCCAGGAACGAGACCGTACACCAGCGGGGGTTAATCAAAGGGTGGAGGAGCACGAAACGCTCCTGGAACTGTCCTGAGTAAGCCAACAAGAATGCTCGCTGGCGCAGTGCTGCCAGCAGATCGAACTGTTTATAAATTATACATTATCTCGTGATAGCCGAGCGTACACAAACCCCGGCTAGACGTTTACTGGCCAGTGAACTCTGTCGCGAAAGCGCCAAACGTTTCCTGCCCGACGAGGAATGGGAAGAGAAACGTCACGGACCGAATTACGCAACCGTCGCATGGATTCCAAACGTTTTCGTATTTTCCTCCGGTTCGCGGCAGACAACACATCCCGTTTTCATCGTTACCTTACCGAATGGAGAGTACCGAAATATCGAGTCAAGTTTTTTTATTATTAACTGCGTGACCTGGTTGAAAAGGGGAGCTCCAACGCGACAGACTCGCTGAGAAACGCACTGGTGGTATAGTATCCATGAAGCCATCGGCAGATCTCTGACCTCAAACTGCAATACGTTTGCATACCGAGAGTGAAAGATTAGATACGCGTATCTCCCAGTTAATTTTTTTTTTTTTTTTTTTTTTTTTTTATTGTAAAACGGGCGCGTTTTTCTCCGAGTTTTACGACAAAGAACGCGAGCGTGCGACTGCGTTCATGTAAATATATTTTTTTTCGTACGCGACTTCCAAAAGTAATAAAATAGATGTACTGCGTTTTATTACATTCGATGAACTTCGTTTAAAAAGAAGTCAAAAAGTACTTCACCGTTTTCTAATTTGAAGCTTCGTTACCTAGGCAACGAGCAATTAAAGCTTACCGATACGACTCCCGGTTCGCGCTATTTCAAATCCTAGTCAGCTGTTCGCGCGGCTGCGCCCTGAAGCCTCCCCACACACGAGAAACACGTGCCCACGCGTTCACACGCGCAATAACTTTAACTGCTCGATAAAGAAGTCTCCGATTGCAAAATGAAAAAACACTTTTCCAAAGGCTAAACAAAAAATTTCTTTAAGCAAAATTCACTGTCTCGATTAAATATTTTTCTGAGTACACGTATTCTCTGTACATTTCGTCGAGTCTCTCCCCTCTGAAAGGGGGTTTGGGGAGAATCTTTTCGGAATCGATGAACTAATTTCGCCACCATACTGTACCGCGTCGCTCCCGAGCGAAAATGTATATAATTTTCGCTCCAATTGGAATCGTACGGCGAAACCGCGAGCCGGCCATTCTATCGCCCGTGGACTCCGAAGCCACCCAGTCGCCGATCCCAATCTGAAACTCGACGGCGTAGTACGTTCACGTAGCACCGATAGATTACGCCCGTAGACACGGCGACGGATATTGCAACGAGTGGCAGAAAAAGAATGACGCGCTTGAGTTGAATTCAAAGTGCTAATCTTGCATTAGTTTATAGCGAGCGCGACGGACCGCCGAGGAATTCCAACCCCCCCTTTTCCCGAATTATTAAAATCTTGAGATTCGACGACATATCGTAGTCACTTGTGTTCTTGACATTCGTCTTGACTGCGTCTTCTCATTTTCTTTCGTATCACAGCGAGTCGATGGAAATCTTGCATTATACCGTGAGTGTTTCTTTTTTTTCAAGTTGCGACTAGGTTATGAGAATTCTCGGATATGGTACTGTTTCTTTACTCGACGTGTCGTCGTATCTTCGTCATTGTCGATAAATCATCGCGCGCAATTCTTTACAAGTGTCCACGGTAATTAAACAAAGACCGTTGTCTAGATAATCATCGGTGTTGAAAGTGTTTTGCGCTGTGATCAACGATGCAACAGAGACCGGGGAGGAAAAGGGAGTACTTTGTGGACGAGCTCCCATGCATAATTCAGCGCTCGTCTCCGAGACTAACGTTGATTCGCACGCATAAATTCGATTACAATTAGTCAAACATCCTGGAGATCTTCGTGGAACACGTTCCCACAAGTATTTCGACTGGCGCAGCCCAACCTCCGCAATGCATTAACGTTTCTCGATGGTGCCAGGAGAAGCGACGCATCCAAGAACGAGGAGGCGAGCGTGCTCACGCCAGTGAGCAGTGTTTCCAAAACACCGGCAGATTCGTTCGTGATATCGATCCGGTGCGACTAGCCCCGAATTTGAACCGCCCTTTGCGGCAACCGAGGCTAGGAGATTAAAAGCTACCCGTTAACTGGAAGCTGCTGTCTCGTTGCTGGAAATTGGCGACACAGAGAGTCGCGTTATTTTGGATCGTCGAGGTTTACGGAAAGGAGAATTTCAGAGAAAAACATCGAGTGGTTCAATTGAAACGAGGTATCTGGGATGCTTGTAGCGTTGTACGAATTTTGAGAAGAAGCCAGGATTGAGTCAAGTTTGTCGACTACCCTGTCGCTAAAAACGTCTTCTTCCCACGAAGCAGAGTTTCGTATTCGAGTCCCACCTAAACACTGACCTACCGAACGAATCGTAGCTGTCAAGCTCAAGCTGCTCCCCCTGGCAGGCGAACAGCCCGCAGGATAATCTCAACGACCAATTGTGTTTTGTTTGGAACTGCCGGTGGATGTAAATACACCCGGCGGGCTAACTGTTCTCATCGTACGGGCTGACTTCCTCCGGCGGTAGTCGTCGGTACTCCTATTTGAAATTATGATCCGTTGAATATAAACAAACCATGGCGATAAGTCCGACGGGCGAGGTTTTAATTTCACCTAATCGCTATTTACTGCGTCATTGTCGGCTTGTAATAGGTCGTATAAAAGATAGTCACGGGGGTAATTTGCGGGCAACATTATCACGGGCGACGACAGGTGTAGTTGGCCGTATACATGTCCTTCTTGCATGCGCAACCAACATAAACGAATAGGGGTACGGAGGGGGGCATGGTAGCACGTGCTACCGGCACCAGGATTCGAGCAAACGACCGAACCGCGTGCCCTTGACTTTTCTCTGACACACTTCCTTCCGCATGGGTCTGGGACGCATCCGTCCAAGGACACTTTTTTCTTTTAACGCAGCAATGAACCCCCGGAAGAACGTCTCCGTGCGATGAAGCCAAGAACGCCGGAGTCATCGACAACGTCCTCGAATGAGGAATAGGTGCGCGAATTAGCCTTAAAGCAACTTATTTCGCGCGGTATATCGCCGAGCGAAATTGTAAGTAAAGTTTAACGACGCTTGCGCTTTTATCGTCAAACTCCTAAGTGAACTTGGAGCTTTCAGAGGCGAATCTTCCCGTCGAGGGACTTTGTCCGAGGACTCGTTTCCTCGTAATATCGAACGTCTTCTCGACCTTTGATCCAGACTTGAATAATTTAAGAACCCGCAAGGTAAGATCACGCGAACTGAACTGCTTTGGACATTTTTTTAAATTGTAATATTTGCAAGAGATAAAAAATTCAGGGTTATCGTTTTAGTTATGCCGGAAATTCACCCAGAGGTCGAAATAGGAATCACGAAAAAGTAGTAACAGTCTTGTACGATTGCGGTTCGTGAACGAAACTGGCTGTTATATTCGAAAATATGGCTGCCATATGTGGCGGCAGCGTCATACGCTTAGCAGCTCGCTCGTTCCTGCATAGGGGGACCCATTCTACCACCCTGACCACTTCAAAAAGACGTTCCTTCGCTGAGATTTATACGCGCGACCTATGGCGTCGCAGATAAGCTCCATTTTTAACGCGTTCAACGACACTTGCTTGTCCCAACCGTGTTGCGAGTTACTGTATAGACTAAAAAACGTGCCTGTACCGCGATATCGAGGCATTAATGGGATTAAGTGCGCGTTGCAAAAGCTTCACTCGAATTAAAGGTTGATTACGTGCTAACCAACACGGCGACGATTAAAATGGTCGAAATTCAGAGATGGACAAAATTCTTAGTCGGATAAAAGTGTCGAATGACGAATACAAGATAAAAAATAAATCAGTACGATGAATAAACAAAAGAAGAAGCGAGGAATCAGTCGTCGTCATATATTATCCGAATAAAATTTTGCCCAATTCTGAACAGTGGTACAATGGCGAAACAAACCTCGTCTCCAATAATCGATGCTCGAAACGAAAGAAATTTCCAGGCGATAGGTTTCAGCTAACAGCAACGTCGCTAGCGACAACAAGATAATACTCACCGCACACGACTCTGTCGAAGGGGCTCATCCAATCTGCAAGTAAAAATAGAAAGAATCGTAATTAGTGAGAGTGTTCGTGGCGAATCGATCCGATACGGATATTATCGAGCTCTTTAACCCCGGTTCCGTGAAACGCATGCACTACGGACAAACTACCCACACGCAAACAATGCCAGCAACAAGAAACGCTGGATAGGGAGCAAGGTACAGAGGAGAGAAAGAAAAATCGAGCAAGAGGGACGGAGAACGGAGAGTCCAAACTTATTCCAACAGATACCCAATTAGAAAGTAGGAAATTCGCGGCAGCCCGACACGCAAAGCTCTCGCTGTAACTTCTCTCCCGCCTAGGATCGAGGATTAGACGAACGGATCGTGAAACGTTCGAGCGTAACGGGCTTAATCCCTCGTCCTACTCTTGGTCTCTCTCTCTCGATTAGATAGAAACATCGACGGATTAGACTGACATCGATCTTCGCAACCGTGACGGGCGACTCGGTACGATTGCGACGTGACGCCAATCAAAGGGATGCGCATCCTTTCGAAGTTAAGGCTGACGCCAGACTAACGTTTTGTAACAAAAATGTGAAATTTTTCTTCGAGATTAATTCCTCGTGCAAAAGAAAAACGAAAACTCCCGTACGGTTAAATAATCTGACGCTTGGTTACGTAGATACGAGCAATTAAAGTTTGCCGACGTGACTCGCGGTGCGCGCCATTTAAATCCCACTCAGCTGATCGCATGCGCCTGCGCAGTCACGCATGAAACACGTGTTCGTGCGTTTGGATGCGTAAAAATTTTAATTGCGTGTATCTCGACAATAAGAACCCTGATTACAAAATGGAAACAGACTTATCGATACGTAATGGCATGAAGAATCAATCTCGAACGAAGATCTATGTTGAAATTCGAGAGGTTCGGATTACTGTTTGCTTTTTGGAGCATGTGCGATAGCATGCGCAGAGTGTTCCAACAGCCTCGTTCAACAGAGGTATCTTTTTAACTGCCAATGGCATAGACGATCATTCATTCCGATAAATTACAAGGCATGCGACGTTTCGCGACGAGAGTAACGTTCCCTGCGTTCTCAGCTCGTAAAAGTTATTCTTACGCAACCGTAAACTAGATATGCGCTTTAGTGAATCGCGAATAGACATTTCTCGCAAACGTTGTACGGTAAGGCCACCCCACGAACAACAACAAAAAAAGTTACATCGCTGGCCATAGGACAACGTGGTCTAATAAAAGTGGGCAACGTGAATTATGAGAGCGATACATGTCCAGGGAAAAACTGATCGCTGTGTGTCCACGTTGCGACGTATAGATTGATCGATAGGTGTAATTAACACTTCGAGTAATTACCGAGGAACATTACAAAATAAAAATCAAATGCATGCGTCAATAGCCTCAGGCAAAATGTTTGCGATATATCTTCCGTGAACAAAGGCATCGTCTAGGTAACGAAAATTATTTAAATGAAATATGTTTCCATTTTATGATTTTTCTTTGGATTTTTCTTGTGTTATCCCTCTGTTGACTTCAATTGCGTTTTAATTGTTTCTGTGAAATGACGAAATGATTAATCATCGTCGTTACGTATCTATAACGGCGAAGTCGAGCGAGAATTAAAGTGTTACATAAACCATTATGATAAGCTAGATGAGTGTCACGTAACCTGTGTGATAAGCCAGATGCGTCGTAACGGGCATATTACAAGCGTGTATTCATGGACCGTCGATTGCTCCAAAGTACCGAAGCGGTGGTACAATAATTTGGGAATAAGAATGGCAGACGATTGTAGAGTTTTTTCTTTGCACAGTTGCTTTAACCGGTAAAAGACTGGTTCAAGAGAGATATTATAAAATACCGTGTAGCAACTTTCGTACATCGAGCACGGGATCGTGGTCGTATCGAGTAATGATAGATAAAGTGAAGAGATCCGATATAGACGATACGCATTAGGCAACCTTTCTCCTAAGTAGACGTTGGAGACCTAGAGCTGCGCGTTATTGGCGGATCTCTCTATCTCCCTCGTGAGTTGATGGTAAAAATGCTTGAAAGCTCAGCAGTTTAATACGTTTATAGGAGCATTACGGCGTGGCGTTGATAGCGGAACGATCCTCGGTAAATAATTTGCATACTCGACGATTACGGCTTCATCGCAATATATTCGATCGGGTCATATCGTCGCGGTTGCAGCCTGCCGCGACGAAAATTTCGTCATTCTGGTAATTTAAAATCGGCTAGGTGGAACGTTAATTCGCGGACTGCGTGGACATTCCGGTCTTAGAGTCGGGTGCAACGTGATATTTTAAGGTGGCCGTTCGTCGAGACGTCCGCCGCGACGCTCGCCTAGCTTAGTGGTCCCCAACCCTTTCCTCTGTGAGAACTCATTTTACTTAAATTTCTTTAGACTCTAAACTTCGAACTCCAATGTTTATTTAATCGGTAATAAGTAAAAAATTATTCATCTTTTATTCCTTAGTCGTAATTTTTGTTTATGAAAAAATTGATTAGAATAACAATGACGAGTCCTTCGCGCCATAGAATATAGTTTTGAGAGCGGAAAGAAAATTAACGTACAGAGGTAAAAATAATTATACATTCGGTACAAAGACAGGATACGACTGTACGTCGTTATTAACATAACTTAACTGTCGCATAACGGTAGTAAAATAAAAACATGTCGTGAGAACAGCAAGTTTATGTCTTTTTTAATATCCATCTACTTGAGGAAACAAATTATTAAAAATATCGTCTCAGTTGATCCATACGGAGACGTGCTTGTATAATTAAACAGTTACGGATTGATTCCAACGAGTTCGCTTATAGTTTCCATATCTTGTAATAGCATTACGATTTTTCTTCCTTCGAAAAAAGGTGTAATTGCCACCTCTTAGGTATACAGTTTTCCCCATCGAATAATGTCACTCATTTATTTGAAACCCAACGATTAAGAAATTGTTATGTATGATATTTAGCTGCACCGCGGTATCGTAATAATTTGTGTGAAACTAAGGATTAATTAAGATAGTGGGCCCGGTAAGAAGCACATTATGCCACCAGCGATGCTTTTAAAAGTAGACGTAAGCAGTTTGAATGAATTAAAAAGACATACGTTAGGCAGGCCATGGTCGAGTGCACGCATATGTACCTCACTGACTTTCAAACTCAAATTTCTCGAGAAAGGAGCCGCGTGTAACAAAATTTCACTTCGCACCAATGACTTATTTCTACCCAAAGGTTCGTTTTCTTTTTGTTTCGTATACGGTACAAAACGCACTCCATATTTGAAAGTACTCTAAAGCTTTTTTGTTTGGCTCGCTTCATCGATCGGACTCGAATAGCAAAACATACATGAATTTTTGGCTCTTCGCGCGTCAGGACAAAAATCTGCCAGGTGATTCCACCCCAATAAAACCACCTAACACCATTCGGCCTAAAAATTGTTATTTTGGTTCTGTTTATTTTTGCTCGACCAGAATCCTTGAACGAGGTACGTTCATCAAATTCTCAACAGAAGCAGAGAGAGGGAGGAGACGCGGGAAATTTATGGTCGTGGTGGAAACAAATGCTCCCAAAAACAATGCGAATCGGTGTTTCTGCCGTCTTTAAAAATACACGAGGTTTTCACGCGCGAGTCACAGCGATGTCTCTTGTTTGCCGCAAATACACGCGTTAACACGTTCGCTACCAACGTCACACCCTATAGCACGAATATTTCTAAAAGCAGCTCGAAAAAGATAAATTCTTCGGAAAAGGCGGAAAACTGTCGGCGAGTTTAGCAGCAAATATAGACTATGGTGACCGTTCTCTGACCGAATGGTAGTTGGAAACGTGTTAAACGTCGCCGGCACTTTGTTCGCGCTAATATGTCCATGGACAAAGACGCTTGGGTACAAGCATGGCACAAAATGCATTATGCGAAACACGGAGAACAGCTCGTCGCAGAAACGCCGCGAGGTTTCAGGCCTCCTATCGCGCCTTGAGCACGCTGCCATTATTCCCGTAAATTGAACACCCCGCCATCGACGAGAATTCCAATCGAGACCGGTGTTTACCGTGTTAGAAATTGTTTGATGAAACGAGCAAGCTGATTCCCAGGCCAAGTGAATGCAAACGTCAGGAAATTAATTCAAAAGTAGACAATACATGCTCCAAAACGATATTTTTTCGTAATAGTCCCTTTCAACGACTCCACGTTTGAACGACGAACAAGCTACCGCTCCAATTATTATTCACACTCGAGAATCGCGCTTGAATCGACCAACGCAAGTGTTTAATTTGTTATTCCACCAAGTATTTACTCTGTGCACGAAGAACGTTCCAGCTACGAGCGTTTATTTTCCATTCAAGAACATCGACGAATATTTACAACGAATTGACGCACGAAAGCAAACTAACGCCAGAATAATTACTCGCGAATGTTAAACGCGCTACTTAGCAGTAGTTCCCGTCGGTTAGCATTAATATTGCCGTGATTAACCTTAGAACGGATAAGAGAAAAACATTTATCTCGAGGCTTCTGGTGCAGAAATACCAATGAAAAATAAATTTTGTTTACTCCCAGAACGATCTTCGTTTCCAAAGATGGCCGGTTCTATCGTTACAGTCTTCGGGTCTCCAACGCACTATAGTGACCCCTGCTGAAAGAATAACTACGAACATGTGTGCCCTAGGTCAGTACCCCTCGTCCAAGGGTAACAGAGCTGATCAGAATATTTCTGTGCGCTATCTTATCCCTTGTAGAAAACAAAAGTATGCAACAACAAAAACCAGGGAGAATTCAGATTTATTTGGAATAGACTGAATCTAGACTCGAATCAAATCATAATTTACCAGCTCATCGGTTTATTACTCGAAACGAAGCTCGTGTTTGACTTGAAAACTATGAATCCATTATTTTTTTAATTATCCCCGAACTCGTACTCTCGCTCAACGATATGGGCTACGTGCATGTTATCGTTATCTTTCTTGCATTATTAAGAATAACATCCGACGCTCGGCAGCCAATGCGTACCGATAGCGTAACAACGACCACGATGGAGTATAGAACGGTCGATCCCGATAACATTAATTCTATTATTGATTTCACCCTTCTCGACAGCCAATTTAGCGCCATATTAAAACGCCAACGACTGCTCCGATCGCCGGATCTATCTCTCCCAGCTCGGAAAGAGGAAACGCTAGCGAACCATTTAACGATCGCATACCAGCAGATAGAGTGACATAGGATAAACGTCCAACTTTCCCGTCGAACGATATAATTTTATATTTGGACATTGAACGTACTGTTCGAGATCTCTGGGATGCAGGTTCTCAGGTTCAACATACCAAGCATAATTCGTCAAAATTATGAATTATATAGCCCTTCAAAAGATTTCATAGCTGCCTGAGACGATGGCCCGTCGGACGACTCCAAAATGGAGTCGCGCGTCAGAGAGTCAACGCTCAGTAAGATACACGCGAGAGTGAAGAAGAAAGGGTGAATAATCATGTATGGAGCGTATTTAACTCATACCGCCAAGTATTAGCTACTATTTGCATTCCTCTACTCATTGACTAAGTCGAATAGAGTACGGACGTTAATCCGAACCAAGACGTACCCTTTAGGATATCATGCAGGGATCATAAGAAGGGACTGAAAAGGGGCGCAGGCTTCCAAATTTTACACAAAAAAGCAGCATAAACGTTTGGCTTTAACTCGTTCATTGAGATAGGGGCCATTTTACCTTCGTTTTATACTAATGGCGGGAAAGAACCGATACATATATAAAAGTTCAGGCGCATTTAACTCGAACAGTCAAATATCAGTGTACTAGAGAAGCTAACTCCAAAGCTGACTCGAAAAACAAGAAGCGCATCGAGTCTCGTCTGATCCGAAGAACGCAACAGACGACACACGATCGCGGAACTTGGCATTCGTAGGCATACGCGAGATTCGAGCAGATAAGCAGCCTTGCCTCGACTCTTCGGTCTAACGTTTTCACGCTTCGTCGGCCTCGCGCACGAGATTCCCGTAAGGGAAACGTACAAGTGGCCTACACCCATGCAACTCATGCGACCACCGAAGCGTTGAGCGAGCAACGGCAAGCGAGATGCATAGAACACGGAGAGATAAAAGAGTAATGTAGACTCACCGGTGATCGACATCCACGGGTACCGTGGTATGTCCGAGATGCCGGGCTGTCCGGTGGTGGGTTGTTGGCAGGACGTCAAGGGATCGACGACGGCCGACGCTGCGGCGGCCTGATGATAAAACTGCGCGGCGGCGGCCATGGACGCGGAAGCTGCTGAGACGGCGGACGATGCGGATGCCGATGAGACCAGGCTGCCGGGTGTAGCTCCGTTCTGATGATGATGACTGAGGGTATAGTTGACCATGGGGTCGGCGGATGTCGGCGCGACATTTCCAGTGAGGCTGGCGGTGTAACGGCAAGACTTGTCGCCAGTTGCGGCGTCGACGGCCGCGGCCGCGGCCAACGCAGCGCTCGAAGCAGCGGTGGAACCGAAGCCTGGCACCATGCTGGACGTGGCTCCAAAAGCCGCCGCCGCGACGGCTTGCTGCTGCTGATGATGGTGATGGGCAGCCGCCGCCGATACGTAAGGATACATGCTAGATGTTGTTCGTGCGGCCGGTGACGTAGACGCGGAACTTCCTGAGTGCTGTGGACTCGAACCTGTCGGGCTTGGCGAGTTGTGCTGTTGCGCGTAATTCACTGCCGCGGCCGCGACTGCAGCCGCGGATAAACTGGACTCTAAACTGGCGGTAGCCGGGCTAGTCGTGCACGCCTGGATCGTGCCTGGATTCGCGCTCGAGAACAACTGTTGATGATGGAACTGCTGATGGTACTTAGGTAGCATACTATCGATTATGAATTTCGAACTCATATCGGCTGTCACCGGTGCCGATCTCTCGGTGCCTCGATGCCGAAGACACGCCCGGACACGGAGACCGGGTCGAGTGCCTCAACACCGACACCGTGCCGCTGGCGAGTCTGCCAGCTGCTGCTGCTTCATCTTCCGCGCACTCACCGTTTTCGTTTCACCGGGTACTCGTTGATTACGACGAAACCGAGATCAAAGCTATCCTTGGCGCGCACTCGGGTACACCGCTCGTATCTGAGGGGTTCCTCTCCCCTTTGTGTTCGGTAGCTCCGTTTTTTTTTCACCGTGTTCTTCGTCTCGATCGTCGTCGTTCGCCTGCCGTCTTTCGGCTTTCCCTTCGTTATCCGTTACCTTTAACCCCCACTTTGATTGCCACTTACGCAACTTTACACATTATCACAGGAACGATAGCGGACGCGAGCGAACGAGGGGTGGACGTCGTCGTATGGTCACGATCACTGGACGCCTCGCGACGGCGGACGAACACACCGGGAGCGCTTCGTTTGATCTTCCGTTCGGCGGCGAATCTCTCAGATCATCGTGTCATCGATCGCGCACCGTCGGGGCCGACGATCCACCGTCCCAGGCGGATTGAATTTCGGGTCGGACGGTACGATTCCTTTATGGTAATTACGATTCCTTCCACATCGGAACGACGGACGACGATAAAGCAGCGGGTCTTCCGTCGTTGTCGGGCCCACCCAGCTGATCCAAAGCAGCGGTCCCAGCGACGGAAATTGGGCTGCGACGGCGAACGAGGCGACGGCACGCGGAGAGAGAAGAGAAGAGAAGAGCGTGGCCCCTGTCAGGTGTTAGAAGCCGTTTCTTGCGTACTTCTCGGATAGTCGACGAATCCTTTATGGGCCATGCATGAAGGTACTATAGCCCCCTATCCCGAACGCCGCGTACTACAACCCACGGCCAGCTAAATGTAACCCCTTACAATAATGGCGCCGCTTGTCTCTCCGTTCTGTTCCCCCCTCTCTTCTACGATCCTCGAGCGCGCCGGGGTACCAGCTGGTAAACAGAGCCGACCAATCGCGCTGCTACCTTATCCACGGTGGACCAATCGCGTGGCGCCTAGGCGCGCCAAGATGAATGGCTCTCTCTCACCACGCCGACTCTACTCGCTCTGATCTTCGCTGCTGCCTATGCTTCCAGCTCTCTCTGGTTTCTTTTCAGCGGCGGGCGCCTCTCGGCCGCTCTCGCTCCAATACGCCACGCTCTCGAGCTCCGTCCGTGCCACGGTCTTCTCCTCTTCGGCTCCGTTCTCCGTGTTCTCTCTTGCCAGTGCAGTCCTGCCAGCCACGTTGCCTTATACCCTGCACACACCGCCTTCGAGCGTCTCGCGCGGATACTCGTTTCCTCTGTTTTCCTCTAATCTCTACGCTTCTCTTTCTCGACGCCGTCTTTTTCGTGCTCTGCTCTCCGGCCAGCCAGCGATGGTTTTTCGAGCGTTAGCCTCTCGCACGCGTTACTCCGTTTTCCCCCTTGCTCCGTTTTTCCTTTGTTTTTGCGTTAAGCTCGCTCTACCTTTTGGCCAGCTCGTAAACGCGCACCAATTCTCTCGGCTCGCAATTTCGTATCGATCTCGCTAATCGCGACCAGTAGCTTCCGATTTCCCTGGTCCAGTAGTGCATCCGTGTCCGACGGCTGGCGCGCTCGCTCCGAGACTCGTTTCCTCGTATCTCTTTCGCCCTTTATCGTCTCGCTGCTTTTGTTCTCTTATCTGACCGGGACCCACGATCCGCGTTCATCGTCGTGGAACTTGTTTCGGAGTTGTTCTCGGTAATCGCGTTCCCTCCAACGAAAGCACGCCAGTCGAATGTTCCGATCCGATCGATCGACGAGATGGAACCTCGACTCCGATCCAGATGGCGCTCCGAAACAGTCTCTGATCCCGATTTCGTCGGAACCGCGAGCTTTTCAGATTTCCCCCGTTCCCGCGAGAAATAGCCAGCGAAACCGGCGCGTTTCGCCAGCGTCGTCTGCTCGACTCTTGGAAACCACTGAACTCGTCCCGCTCGGGATAGCGGCGGCATTCCTGCGTTCTGAGAGTGGTGGCACCGCGATGGGGCAAGAAGCGACTCGTCCGAGGGGCCGGGGTAGGGGGAAGGGGCGCATAGTAGTCGGGGCGGAGAGGGAGCTCGCGGTGGATCGCGAGCGAGGGTGGAAAGGTGCAGGGGCGGGAAAGGTCCTCGATCGCGAGCTGCCTCTGCTCGACGCTTTTTTCCTCGCGGAAGGCTTCCATCGAATTGATTCGTCGCGGCCAGCGAGTGCTCCGTTACGCTCCACGATTCCGTTTAACCCTTTCGCTAGGACAGTCTTTGCTAAAAGACGAGGATAGACGGAATTTATTTGGAACGACTGATTACGAAAGGAAACCTCCAAGTGTTTATTTGTTTGAACATTCATATTTGCATAATTACACATGCTTTTAGCCTCTCGAGGTAAAACGTAATACGATTAACGTTATTTCTGACACATTAACGAAGACGGGAACCTCCGATATACTTAAACATTTCAACGTTACTCGTTCAGGTCTTCATCGGTAACAAAATTATTGTAATCTAAGCCAATTAAGAAACGCGATGGCTAATAGGAGCATAAAAATGGTCCCCGGTTACTGCATTATTCAATGGTGCATTATCATTTTCTTTCTGGCTCACAATAATTGTATTATTTATAGACATTTAATTAGCGAAGAAGACATAAATGAACGAGTTGAAGACGTTTTAATATTAGAAATGTGCTTAATCGGACTATTAACGTCAACGCTATATCAAGCTACCAATCTGCAACCATTACGATTTACTTCTTCCTGTAAAAAATCGTATCGTACAATCCCATGGCTATTCCATCATACGAATAGGTTGCTATTCCGGTGCGTTGTGCGCAGTATTTCTCGAAAGTCGTCGATATTATTCGCGGATCGTTTAGAGGAGGACGACTAAAGTCATCGTTAGTAGCGAAAAGGTTAAATATAACGCTGGTTGTTTGCTTTCGATCGGTGAGAGCCAATGTGGCGAGGTAAACGGCCAGCTCGCGTTGCGCGGGGTTCGGCAGCTCCTTCGGTTCGCGAGTTTTACGAGGACTTTAACGACGAGGGAATCGAGATTTCAGGGTTCGATTAATTTTACGATTTATTTCCTACTGTTTCAGCCGATACACCTCGTCGATTAACCGGTTAACGACGATCGAGTGGAGGATACATCGGTAGTCCGATCGGTTTCAGGCTGACGTACTCACCTTAGACGGCGATCTCCGATCCTGAAACCTGAAACACAACACAAACAAAATCCCTGTTAGAGTCTCAGAAGAATAGTTCTTATAAATTGATATGTATTCGTGCTATTAATACAATTAAGTATTCCGTTATCTATTTCAAAGATAATGGATCCAAGATGTCTTTGACTTCAAAATCAGGGAAATAAAAATGATGTTGGTTGCTTTTGTTTTGTAAAATTAACATTTTTTATACATTACATATGCATATAATAATAATTCTTTCGCTGCTTAGATAGATTAACCTCTACTCATTCTACCTGCCGCTACCCTCGGCAACATACCTTCCACTTTCACCAAAAAACACAATTTAGAAGACTCTTTTTAATTTATCTCGTCGATTACAAATTATTCCCGATTCTTTAATTCCTCATCAAGGAGAGGAACAGGCGTGGTCTCTCAGGTATCTTCGAAATGGGCTGGAACGTCCGAGTACGGATACCTCGGAACCTAATCTATGGAGATGAATGTCCCACCTCTGCCTACGTCCCGTTGGCATGGTTCGAAACCGCTCGATCCTTAAAGACACCGCCTGCTCCGATGGTACCCGACATGGCAACTCGACGTACAAAAGAAGAAGTGCCTTCGAGCCTACCTTTGTTGCCGGGGCGGTTCGGAATAGATGGGAACGATACAGAAAACGACCTAAACAACAGCGGATGGTTATATCCTTTTTTATACGCGGGGGACACGTGAACTCGTTTAATCTGCCGCGGGGACTGATTCAGAGGAGGAAGATAAGGGACTGGAGACTGGGGATATTTTGACGAGCGACCCCCATTTATTGCCCCGCGGTGACGAAGATATTCCGCGATTCGGTCGACAATTGCTTTTGCCGGGGGCAATCGAGCCACCGAATAATTTACAACACCCAGGGAAGCCTGTCTGGATTCCCCGGTAGCGGTGATTAACACCTACCGTGCGTCATGTATAACCGACACGCTGATTCTCGTTGTCACCTATGCGTGTAGGCGTGTGACACAAATGTAGCTCGACGCGTCGAAGACTGTTAATACCAAACGTGTTAAGCTGCCATCGAAACGGTCACCTCCTTCCGTCTTATCTATCAGAACCTCCTCGTGTCAGGACTCATCGTCCCCGAAACTACGTGGTCCAATTGACGTTATCGTTAATGAGGTCCAGCTACCGCCGAAACACCCTCGTTTTTCCCATAATTCTGTCGCAGCCTCTTCGTGGCGCGATCTAATCGTCCCCCCTCGAAGCTACGCCTAGTGTCTAATAAACCCAAGACCCGGTGATGTACAGCCACCTATCCAGCGGCTCCATAATTACGCAATCGAACGATCAGGCTCGAGACAAAGGTTGTCGTCAACCCGGTGCCGAAATTCGACCAGCACCTAGTCGGGAGACCTGTCCAATTACAGGAACGATCCTGACGCATCCTGGGACGAGCCTTGGAGCCAGTTCTGGTCGCGCGAGCGGAGGCTGCGCTCCGAGGCATATGCATACCTGTCTTGAGCACCACGGGGTGTAAATTGCGTCAGCTGGACGGACAAAGACGGAGAGCCAAGCGGCGGTTGGTATGCGTGAACCACTGGAAAGATCCGCGGAGGATAAAGAGGTGGTCTGGTTCAGCTGGAACCCTCGAACGTGTCCGTGGAATTCTCGAGCGAAGGTTCTCGTTCCAGGGCTATCCCGAGCGTGATCCCGCGGGGAAAGGGAACGCCGAGGACGTAGGGAAAGAGAGATTGGGCGGTGGTCCAACAGGATCACCCTGGGCTGGGGGTGAGCCGGGGTGACGCCCTGCCGATCGGAACGGAGGCACCTAGAGCGCCATCTTCGAGCGGATGGAGAGAATTCCCGAACGATGCACCGCTCGTACCGGCATCCTTTTCGCCCGATCAACGATCCTGGCATTTTCTGGCAGCCGAGAAGGACCTGCGAGCCGATACTACAGGGCTTGGACCATTCGAGCGATTTAACATTTCGGTGCCTTCGACTATTCGAATAGAGAATAACAGTGCTCCTCCCTTCGAACAATTCTTGAAGGTGGGGAGTAAATTAAACCGACGTCTGCTGGTTGTAAACAGCAATCAGAGTTATTTATTATTATCCTAATTGGCCGA